CTACCTACCTACCTACCTACCTACCTACCTACCTACCTACCTGCCTACCCACCTGCCTATCTACCTACCTACATACCTACATACCTACCCATCTACCTGCCTCCCTGCCTGCCTACCTGTAATTGTCATCATTGTGTCATCGTCGCACGCAGGTGAGCTACTACTTCCCGCTGAAGACGCTCTGGCGTTCGTTCTTCTGTGCGCTGGTCGCGACCTTCGTGCTTCGCTCGATCAACCCGTTCGGAACGTCTCACCTCGTCATGTTCTACATCGACTACAACTCGCCGTGGTTCTTCTTCGAGCTGATACCGTTCATCATTCTCGGCGTGTTCGGGGTGAGCGCGGAGGAACAACGACGCAAGGGAACAACGTGTGACTGGGGCGGGGGAGGGGGGGGGTACATGTGGCGGTGGGGCATTCGATCTGCGATGGGTCGCAGTATGTGCGAGCGTGTGTGCGTGCGCGCGTGCGTGCGTGTGCGCGAGCGTGCGTATGTGTGTCAGTTGTGTGTGTGAGTGAATGTGTGTGGGCGTGCGTGTGTGTGTGTGTGTGTGTGCGTGCGTGCGTGCATGCGTGCATGTGTATGTTTGTGTGTGTTGTGTGTGCGTGCATGTATGTGTGCGTGCATGTATGCGGGGCGTGTGTGTGTGCATGTATGTGTGCGTGCATGTATGTGTGCGTGCATGTATGCGGGGCGTGTGTGTGTGCATGTATGCGGGCTAGAATATTGCTAGAAGATGACAAGGAAGTTGCTACAATCTATTTTTATTGGCTAGGGTCTGGTGGGAGCATTCTTCATTAAGGCCAACATACACTGGTGCAAGTACAGGAAGGCGTCTAAGCTCGGACTGTATCCAACAGCAGAGGTATGTGAAGCCTTATCAACGTCGCTGCAACGTGGATGCAATATCACACTTGGGTTTGCTTAGACAGGATGAACTAGTTCGAATAACTCCTTCACAGTTCATATATAGCTGTTTCATGTAGCGGTTTATGTAACTGTTTCGTATGACGGTTCATGTAACTGTTTCGTATGACAGTTCATGTAACGTTTCAAATAACAGTTCATGTAACGTTTCATATAACTGTTTCATGTAACTGTTTTATATAACAGTTCATGTTACAGTTCATGTAACTGTTTCATATAACAGTTTATGTTACAGTTCATGTAACTGTTTCATATAACAGTTCATGTAACGTTTCATATAACAGTTCATGTAACTGTTTCATATAACAGTTCATGTAACTGTTTCGCATGATAATTCTTCATTAACTGTTCATGTGCACGCCAAGTCGTCAACTTTGCAGCAGCACTGTTGCTAAGCAGCGTGTTTAGAACGACCCTATCGCTATCGTGATTGGCTAGACCTACCCGCCAATCACTCCATGCGGTCCGGGTCATTTTACTTTCGTCTGTAGTTACACGGCTGTTCTTTTGTTATAGGTACTAGCGATCACGCTCATCACGGCCGTGATCAGTTTTCCGAACGTGTACACGCGCATAAATACGAGCGAGTTGATAGCCGAACTCTTTCAGCAGTGCGGCCCCGAGGACAGTACCGACCTCTGGTGAGAGAAATAATAAGACAAAAAAATACTGCGTGTTGCCTCGGGGATTGATACTTCCGTGTTTATCAAGGAACCGGGTGATAATTTCGACGTATTTTGTCATTGTAGTGTGTTCTGCATGTTCCAGAAGTATGTAGCTTCATTCTAGAACAAACGCGCGAGGAAATGTGGTGATAACCATTTGATGTAGCAATGGCGGACCTTCTTATAGCTCTCGTAATTAATCGCTAGCTCTTACATGCTTACACTTATGATTCACATCTCTTATATGGTTACACTTATCAATTAATCTCGTACATGGGCTAACGCTCCATTAGGAGTGTTTCCAACTTTGATATCATTAATGATTAATGATTAATGATTAATGATTGATGATCCTAACCCTATAACCCTAACCCTATGATTAATGATTGATAATCCTAACCCTAACCCTAATTGACCATTAATGACAATTAATTTGGGAACACTCCTACAGTCCTAATGGAGTATCACCTCGTACAGGGCTACACACAATGATTATCATCTATAACATGTTACACTAAACTAATACTATCCCATACATGGTTATATACACTTTAACAATTACTCTCATACATAGCTACACTTGGCGACTATCATATCTTACATGGTTACCCTTAATGATTATTACCCCTTACATCATGGCTACACCTGTACCGCAGCGATGGCTCAATGGTTGAGTGCTCGCCTCGTATGTGGAAGGTCGGGGGTTCAACTCCCGGCCGGGTCATACCAAAGACTTGAAAAATGGTACACACGGCTTCTCTGCTTAGCATTCAGCAAATAGAGATAGAGTGTGGCAAGTTAACTCGCAGTGCTACCAGTAGACTAACCCCCTACTTTAGCATTTACTGTGAAAGCAGAGCTGCGGGGCCTCAGGGTTACGGAAACGGAGATAGGCACCGCCCTATGCGCCATACAGGCGCAGGAAGGATTTAACTTAACTAACATGGCTACACCGAACGATTTGTGTCGCTGCTGCAATCACGATTGCGATTACTACCTCGTGTTTACAATCGGAGAGTTGCAATAAATTTTATTTGAATTTGAATTTGAATTTGAATTTGTTTACCCCTACGCTTCGCCTCGCAGCGACTACAACAGGAACTTTACGAACGTGAACCACGGTTCGGAGTCGGCGGAGAGCGGGCACGGTGTCACGCGCGCCCTCTGGCAGCTCTCGCTCGCACTAGTCTTCAAGCTGCTTATCACCATCTTCACGTTCGGCATCAAAGTGAGTACGGTCGGCGCGAGTGAGGGAAGAGGGAGGGGGAGGGAAGAGGGAGGAGGGAGGAGGAAGGGGGAGGGAAGAGGGAGGAGGGAGGGGGAGGGAAGAGGGAGGGGGGCGTGTGGAGAGGAAGGGTGTGCTTGCATGAGTAAAGATAGCAGGTGGAAGAAGGAAAGAGAAAGACCAAGCGAGAGAGAAATATATATATATCTATACGTGTGCATGTATCTGTTTCTCCCTTGGTGTCTCCCTTTCCTTATTTATTCTTCTATAATATATTCCCTATTCTTTATATCAGGAGTAGATAATAGAAGATCTTCTATTATCTACTCCTGCTTATATTATATATATATACAGACAAACAGACTGTTTTGCAAACCCTACCTCCATCTCACTGCCTCATGCCTCAGAGATGTGACACCACGCACCCCTTGCCTCGGCAGGTACCGGCGGGGCTGTTCATCCCCAGCATGGCGATCGGTGCGATCGCCGGCCGCATGCTCGGCGTCGCCATGGAGCAGCTGGCCTTCCACAACCCGGAGTGGTTCATCTTCAAGGACATGTGCAACCGCAACGAGGCGTGCATCACGCCGGGCATCTATGCGATGGTCGGGGCGGCCGCCATGCTGGGCGGTGTCACGCGCATGACAGGTAAGACAGGTGACAAGTGTAATGTCACGCGCACGACAGGTAAGACAGGTGACAGGTGTAATGTCACGCGCATGACAGGTAAGACAGGTGACAGGTGTAACGTCACGCGCACGACAGGTAAGGCAGGTGACAGGTGTAACGTCACGCGCATGACAGGTAAGACAGGTGACAAGTGTAATGTCACGCGCACGACAGGTAAGACAGGTGACAGGTGTAATGTCACGCGCATGACAGGTAAGACAGGTGACAGGGGTAAAGTCACGCGCACGACAGGTAAGACAGGTGACAGGTGTAACGTCACGCACGCGACAGGTAAGGCAGGTGACAGGTGTAACATCACGCGCACGACAGGTAAGACAGGTGACAGGTGTAACATCACGCGCATGACAGGTAAGACAGGTGACAAGTGTAATGTCACGCGCACGACAGGTAAGACAGGTGACAGGTGTAACGTCACGCACGCGACAGGTAAGACAGGTGACAGGTGTAACGTCACACGCACGACAGGTAAGACAGGTGACAGGTGTAACGTCACACGCATGACAGGTAAGACAGGGGACAGGTGTAACGTCACGCACGCGACAGGTAAGACAGGTGACAGGTGTAATGTCACGCGCACGACAGGTAAGACAGGTGACAGGTGTAACGAGGTGTGCATAACAGGTGAGGTGATGCGCACGACAGGTGTAACATCACGACAGACCTGCTATTTATTGTATAGATATGATATATAGATAATATATTTATTATTTATTATGTATATGATATCAGGAGTAGATAATAGAAGATATATCTTCTATTATCTACTCCTGATGATATATATATATATATATATATATACATATTTATTGCAGCAATCACTGCAATAACAGACCTGGCATTCATTCCACTTGTTCATGGCCTGCATGTGAATGACCTCGTGTCTCGTCTTCCCATTTCAGTTTCGCTCGTCGTGATCATGTTCGAGCTTACGGGCGGAATACAGTACATAGTGCCCATCATGGCCGCTGTGATGACGAGCAAATGGGTAAGCACTCACTCTACGTCGTTTCCACCGCAGACATAGATTACATAGATCAGCCAGGCCATAAAAATGTTGCTTGTTTGCCCTCACCCGACCGACCTGTCAAAAAGGGGCCGACTCAACAAAATTTTATTGATCTTTCCCATTATTTTTATTTTTACAAATTGTATCCGTGTACACTATATAACTCTGTAGGCAATATATTATATGTACCAAGCAAAACAAACGTTCAACATAAAAGGTATCTCCACACAAGCACACTCGAGCATGAAGACAGTTCAAAGACACCATGCTGAATTTGTAAAAAGATGCCCCTCAAAAAAAATAATAAAAAGCCTACCTACCTACCCAAACTTTTCAGCCTGGGTCGGGTGAGGGCAAACAAATTTTTTTTTAATTGTGGCCCCAGCTAGCTGTTTAACGGTGAACAGATGTGGGAATGATGTCGCAGGATTTTACCGTGATGATTGAGATGGGATATTCCGATTCATTGGTGGCTTATGGATGGTTAACGACTGATGAGAATAAATTTTTTAAGTGCACCAAGTTTACGCGCTGATCACGTAATCCATCGTGATTTTTTCCTAGTAAGTGGGAGGCTCAGTAGGGTAGGTAGGGTAGGGTAGGGTAGGTAGGGTAGGGTAGGTAGGTAGGTAGGGTAGGCAGGGTAGGTAGAGTAGGTAGGGTAGGTAGAGTAGGTAGAGTAGGTAGGGTAGGTAGGGTAGGCAGGGTAGGTAGGTAGGGTAGGGTAGGTTGGCTCAGTAGGGTCTCGTCATGTAGGAGGTGAGGATACCTGCCTGCCTGCCTGCCTGCCTGCCTTCCTGCCTGCCTGCATGCCTGGCTGCCTGCATGCCTGTCTACAAGCCTGCCTGCCTGCCTGCCTGTCTACATGCCTGCCTGACTGACTGACTGACTGCTTGCCTGCCCGCATGTCTGCCTGCCTACCTGTCTGCCTACCTACCTACCTACCTGCTGTCTACCTGCCTGCCTGCCTGGCTGACTGCCTGTCTGACCGACTGACTGATTGCCTCACTGCCTGCCTGCCTGTCTGCCTGTCTGCCTGCCTGCCTGCCTGTCTTCCTGCCTGCCTGCCTGCCTGCCTGCTTGCCTGCCTGCCTGCCTGCCTGTCTTCCTGCCTGCCTGCCTGCCTGCCTGCTTGCCTGCCTGCCTGCCTGCCTGTCTTCCTGCCTGCCTGCCTGCCTACCTACCTATCTATCTACCTATCCACCTACCTACCTTTCTCATAGTAAGGGTAAGGAAGGGTAGGGTAACATGAAGGGTAACAGTGTAAGCAGTAACAGGGTAAGTAGTAACAGTAACAGGGTAAGTAGGAAGGGTAACAGTCTCATGATGAGGATTGGGTGATTACGGTGGTATATCTTGCTCTAGGTTGGGGATGCCGTGCTTATGCGCCAGTCACACATACACGACGCACGGCCCGCGCACTGAAAAATTAGCAATTTTGGCCAGTGCGTTGTCTTTCGCTGGGTGTGCGTCAGCATTCGTTCGTTACTCGTTCGTCGAGCGCGCTGGACCAACGCTATGCATTCGTTGTCATTCGCTGTGTGCGTCGAGATTTTTGTGCATGCACAAAAATGTGCGCGGAGCTCGACGCATGAATGTACACGCCAGAAGGACGCCAGACACGCGCAGAGCGCGCTGGACCAACGCCAGACACACGCGGAGCACACGCTGGGTATTCGTTTATGTTCGCCGGCTGAGGTGTAGCGCACACCTAGCGCACACCTAGCGTGCTTCTAACGCATGTCCAGCGAACATGCAGCGAATATGGGCGTGCTGAACGAGTGCTGAACGAGTCTGTAGCGCGCTCAGCGTTCTTCTAGCGTGTTCCTAGCGTGTAGCCATGGGGTATATAAACGGGTCCCGCCCCACCTCCTCATCATCACTTCTCCTCCGACCCTCATGGGTGATGACAAAAGGTTCCTGCTGATCGTGTCTAGAAGAACCACTTCAGACCTTCGCTGGCTGTGCGTTGAATGAATGAATCGCGGTGCATGCGCGGTGCATGCGCGGACCATTCGTTCCGTGCGCTAGCAACACGCTGTGCATTCGTTGGATTTTTTAACATGTGCGCCCTGTATGCGCGCAGCGCGCTAGCAACACGCTGTGCATTCGTTGGATTTTTTAACATGTGCGCCCTGTATGCGCGCAGCGCGCTAGCAACACGCTGTGCATTCGTTGTCCCTACCTACCTAGCTACCTACCTACCTACCTACCTACCTACCTACCTACCTACCTCACGGTGGTGCATCTTGCTCTAGGTTGGCGATGCTGTGCTGAAGGAGGGAATCTACGACGCGCACATCTATCTGAACGGTTACCCGTTCCTCGACAGCAAACTGGAGTTCACCCACACGACGATCGCGGCCGACGTGATGAGACCAAGGTAATCCCCCGCCCGCGCCCCACCCCCCCCGCCCCGCGCCGGGGCCGCACCGCCTCATCGCTCTGCCAACACCCCCACCCCTGCGCGTTGTTCCCACCCCACGGTCTCCCCACCCCGCACTGCCCTGCCTCGGCACCCTCTCCACCCCCCACCCGCACCTCCACTCAACACTATCCCCGTCCGCCACTCTCACCCGTATCTCCCCCACCTCCCCCCCCCCACTCTCACCCTATCCCCCACCTCCCCCCCCCCCACTCTCACACTACCACCGCCCGCTCTCACCCTATCCCCGCTACTCTCACCTATCCCCCTCCCCCACGCCCACCCCACTCTCACCCTATCCAGCCCCCCCCCCGCTTTCCCCTTACCAACCCACACTCCCGCTTTTTTTTTCGCCGCCTATCCAACATCACCCCAACCCCCCCCCCGTTCCCCTATCCCACAGCCACCCACCCGCTACGCTTCCTCCTCACAAATCGCCCCGCGCCTCGCATCACTCACACACCCGATCCACCCCCCTCCTTTCATCGTGCTACATGTGTTCTTTCCTGTCTTGCTTGTGGACGTTGTTAACTGTGATTTTGCTCTGTGTAGCTCAATATTTCGACAGCCAGTATGTGTTACCCTAGACCCTAGAAAATGTTCGCATTGATTTTGAAATACTTTTCCGTGTGCGTGTGTATGTACGTGCGTGCGTGCATGCGTGCGTGTGTGCGTGCGTGCGTTGTGTGTCTGTCTGCACTATGTGTGCTACTCCCTAAACACACCTATCCAGCTGTTTGGCCACGTCTAATGTTCACCTTTATATGCAGCCTTTGCCAGGCATTCACAAGTACATGTGTTTTTGTGGTGGAGCGATTGTGAGTGACCGAGCAGTGTACTGAAATGCAGTCTAAAATATAGTGCGATTATAAATAAAATGTAGGTGCGGTGTGGCACTTATGATAGCAAGTCTAACCAGGTATATTGACGTATAAACTGCTGCCTGTACGACAGACTGATATATGGTATGCAGACAGCAATCTGTTTGCTGAACGTGTGCACGCACGCGATATATATAATGCAATTGAATGGTGGCGCCACCTAATGGCGTAAATAGTGGACAACGGAGCTCTCTNTGTCAGTGATCACGCAAGATAGTATGACTGTAGAGGATATTGGTAAATTATTAAATATATTAAAAATATTTTATTATAAATTAGCTGCGATTAACCAGCGCTAAGACGTCTCAAGCAAATTTTAAGCATATTTAGGCATTTTGTGTACTTCCAGGTGTTCCTCCACTTCCACTTTTTATCTAGATTTTAATTTTATAAGAATTTTAAGTAGGAGTGTGCAGAAAATTGTTTCCTTATCTTTGCTTCATTGATTTTATAGTACACGTACAACGCTCTTTTTCTTACTTAATTGAAATGTCGTAGTAACTTTACGTTGTCTGACGTTAGATTTAGTTTCGATCTTTATATGGACGTGGATCTTCATTACTCATCACATATTCTTCATTATTGCTGTGGCTGATACGTTCACGTCCCAGCAACACGCGTTGTCTGACCGTTAGACTTAGCTTGAATCTTTAATTGCATGTTGTCTGACCGTTAGACTTAGCTTGAATCTTTAATTGCATGTTGTCTGACCGTTAGACTTAGCTTCGAATCTTTAATTGCATGTAATGTTTAATTGTGCGTTGTCTGACCGTTAGACTTAGCTTGAATCTTTAATTGTGCGTTGTCCGACCGTTAGACTTAGTTTGAATCGTTAAATGCGCATGAATATTTAAATGCGCGTTGTCTGGCGTTAGACTTAATGCACTCCGTGTTTTCTCGTTTATGTAGAAACCCTGCTGAGAGAGACGGAGCACAACGGCTTCCCCGTCGTCGTCTCACAGGAGTCACAGTACCTAGTCGGATTCCTAGTGCGCAGGGACATCAACCTGGGGCTCGGTATCTATGCTACTATTGCGTTTGATTCTAGGAAGTCCTTAAAATTGAGCGATTAACACTTCCTACCTATTATTAACCTTGCTCATTAATAGCCTAACCCATACAGCTAGTTGGTTTATAGTGAAATGTGATACAGATGAAAATCTTGACGTGAAACCGTCGTGGAAAGAACACCTTTCAGGGCCATGAAAATTCTTCGGACGCTTTACCTGGCGCGTGTGCGGTCCCCTGAGTCTCAACGCCAACGTGTATTGCTTCTGTTTGGCAGCGAGCGCCCGGAAGAATCAGGAGGGAGTAGTGAGCAACTCGATAGTCTACTTCACTGACCACGTGCCGGCCGTGGCGGCCGTCGGCGGGCCGACCCCACTGAAGCTACGAAAGCTAGAGATGTGAGGGGACTGCCCTCGTCGTGGGGCTGTCCCGGGAGGTGTTAGAGTTAAGAAAGGAGTGTGTTGGGGCATGCGTGTGTGTGGTCTGTGTAGGGAGTGTGTTGTGTGTGTGTGTTTGCGGTGTGCGTGCGTGCGTGCTGTAACGTACGCGGCGCGAGTCGTGCCGTGCGATGGCGTGTGTTGCTGTGTGTGTTGCATCTGTTTGGCTATGCGAGCGTGTGTATGTGTGTGCGTGTGTAGTGCTGTTCATAGTGATGTGGTGTGACCGTGTGTGCTCGTGTATGGAGGTGTTGTATGTTGGCGTGTTAGTGGTGTTCATGTGTGTGGGTGATGCCGCGTGTGTGTAGTATGCCGAGCGTGTGTATGTGTGTGCGTGTGTATGTGTTCAATGTGTGTTGATGTGTGCTGCGCTGTGTGTGTATGCGAGCGATGGCGTCTTGTGTATGGTTGCGTGTGTAGTGTGTTCATGTGTGTGGTGTGCGTGTGTGTGTGTATGCGAGCGTGTGTATGTGTGTGCGTGTGTAGTGTGTTCATGTGTGTGGTGTGCGTGTGTGTGTGTATGCGAGCGTGTGTATGTGTGTGTGCGTGCGTGCGTGTGTGGTGTGCGTGTGTGTGTGTATGCGAGCGTGTGTATGTATGTGCGTGTGTAGTGTGTTCATGTGTGTGGTGTGCGTGTGCATCTATCGTAAGGAATCATTACGTTTCGGGAGTGAAATGGTGATGAAGCCATGCATGCGATCGTGTCGTGTTGCAGGCTCCTACGACCATCACGGACCAGACTCCCGTAGAGACGGTGGTCGACATGTTTAGGAAGCTGGGACTCCGACAGACGCTCGTCACGCATAACGGGTGAGCGAAATATATCCGAATATATAGCGCTATATATATACACGTCCAGAATACACTTGTACTTGGAAAAACTTGTGAAATGGTAAAATAACCAAATCTCAAAGGTTCATGTTAACGTGACCTCAGATTTTATGGAAGAATCGCCCACGCTGTTATTTGACGTTTGAAGTTTCTTTAGAAGTGACTGAAAAATTACCGAGAACAGGGGGGGGGGCATCATTGGATACATGAATAAGTATGGCTGCCACAAAACTACAATGTCTGAACTTGCACAACACTTCATTTCAAAACAATTACGACATTTTAGGCATACAATGTCACGACTTCCTCTGGTGTTTCTGGCAACTGGACCCTGGGTACTCTGTATATTACGTATCTTGTACTCTGTATCATACACTGTATGATAACGTATCCCGTGGCTCGATGCTAGCTATTATGCATGGTTTAACCGACAATACGCTCATCACTATGTCTTCCATGTTTATATTCACAACATTTATACATTAATTGTTTTTTTAATTAGTTCATTAATTAGTAGATTAATGAGTCTTTAATTGGACGTGGATCATTGATTACTCATGGCACATTCTTAATTATTGCAGTATATTATTATATATATTAGCATAGTATAGTATTATGGCATTATTTCATCATTGGTTGCAGCCGTCTGCTGGGAATCGTCACGAAGAAGGACGTGTTACGGCACATCAAGCAGCTTGAGAACAAGGATCCGTCGACCGTGCTGTTCGACTAACCGGCGCGGTCCGCCTCTTAACTCAAAGCAGCTTGAGAACAAGGATCCGTCGACCCGTGCTGTTCGACTAGCATCGCGCGCGTCCGCCATCTTAATATTATCAAGCAGCTTGAGAACAAGGATCCGTCGACCGTGCTGTTCGACTAGCATCGCGCGCGTCCCGCCATCTTAATCTCAAGCAGCTTGAGAACAAGGATCCGTTGACGGTGCTGTTCGACTAACCGGCGCGCGTCCGCCATCTTAATCTCAAGCAGCTTTGAGAACAAGGATCCGTCGACCGTGCTGTTCGACTAGCATCGCGCGCGTCCGCCATCTTAATCGCGTTAAATTCTCGGCTTCGTCGTCTTCGCTTCAGTTCGTAGCGAGCGCATGTTTTCACTCAGGCTCTCCTGCGCGAGCAAGAGAGAGAGAGAGAGAGAGAGAGAGAGAGAGACGAGGAGGAGTGACGACGGGACCGAGAGGGATGTCTTGGAGAGAAGGGAGTAGAGAGAGAGGAGAGAGAGAGAGAGAGAGAGAGAGAGAGAAGAGGGAACGAGAGAGAGAAGAGACGAGAAGAAGAGAGAGAGAGAGAGAGAGAGAGAGAGAGAGAGGTGACGGGGCTTTCCATTCCGACACGTGGTGTTGTGCCCATATTGTGATGGAGTGGTGGGTGCATTAGCGAGCAGCTAACGGCTGCGGAAACGAAACGATTAGCGAATAGCGGAAGCACGCTCGTCAGCAAGTCGTTAGCTGAGAGAGAGAACAGAGAGAAAGAGAGAGAGAGAGAGAGTAGAGATTAGCGGTAGAGAGTAGACTCAGTAGGAGGATTGGACTGTTCGCAGCGACTGACGGGCGCGCAACCGTGGCTTATATTATCAACATCCGGTGTTTGCTCGCGCAATAACACACACTAATAACGTGTTAACTTATTTTGACTGTTGTGAGACCGTTATTTTGTCCATTTTCCAGTAATGCTGGAAACGCTCGATGATTAAATGCATTATTAAATGCTCGATTAAATGAATTACTAGCGTTGTGAATGTGAGGACACTTGCAAAGCGGGGGCGGGGGGCCCCTTTTTACGTTCCGGGGTGCGGTTGAGATTGGGGGACGGGCAGTTGAATGAGACCTGCATGTATCCGTGCCCTGGTTGTGCTTGTGCTCTTTAAGACAATTATCTGTGTCCGTGCGTGCGTGCGTTCGTGCGTGCGAGCGTGCGTGCGTATGAGTGTGTGAATTTCCGCGTCATGCGACAAACTGTGTGTAGTCTGATCCCCTGATCTTATATGAACTTGTGCTCGATGATCGAATGAGTGCGTATATTGCGAATGCAAATGAAATCTCTGACATCGTCTGCAATTCCAGTTGTGTGTGAAAAATCCTCACGTGACCGTGACCATTGCAACCCGCAGAAGTTCCGAGTTTGGAATCGCGTCCGTGTTGGAATGCATGACAGAATGCCAGCTCCCCCGGGGGGAGGGGTTGCAGTCGAACTGTGATCGCTTTTGCCATAATGCATCGTGGTCGTACATGCTCCCTGAATATTATAGCACCCCGATCGATGGTGATCCTCGCGAAGTAATCTTAAATGGAATTTATTTATTGATCCCATTATGATCGTGATTGATTGATTGATAATCGTGTGTGCATGCGCTAGTAGGTTGTTGAAGTATCGCTCTCGGTCGGCTGTGCGCTGACTTCCGGCGCGCGCTCGGTCCGCTCGTTCGTAATTCTATTTAAAAGATATTCTTTTAAAACTTTTGTGCAACTTGATCGTCTCGGTCGGCCACACGGTGACGTCAGTAAATCGCACGTGTTCCCCTGTAGGAGACGGGGCTCCCGTTGTACGTTAGTTGGCTCTGATTATTTGTGGGTTTTTTGGTGTGTCTACCCACGTACAGCATAGCAACGCCCGTAAGCAGCACATAGCAACGGCGTCGTTTGGCGAACTGCTGCATCCCCTGTCTTCTACGAAAACTCTGATTTAATATTACTTTAACTTTAATTAATATTGACAAATAGCCCAACTGATAAGAAGGTGGCCGTGGTAGGCGGTGTACGTACGTGAACGAACGCATAACCACATGAGAAATATGACAACATTGCGAGACACTCGGTAGCACCCGTTAGTGCTGTTTCTTCATTGCTAGTGAAGACTATCATTACTTTGATTGCGTCAAATCATGAATGTTTTACGCAATTGGCTGAAGGAAGAAGCCCATGTACATATTCATATCAAAACATCAAATCACGTCATATATTTTATAGGTGGCGCTCTCTATTAAATGGAATCTCGTTCTAACATAAACTACAAACTTAACTAAAACATCGTCTACATGTGACATTGAATTGTTAAAGAACGGCAGGCATACGTCGCAGTTTTAACTTTTGAACCCAGCAGTAGCTTTGATCAGTAGTGGATTCACAAATATGACATAACGTGTCGCGCCATCTATCGAGGAGCAGTAATTCACGCCAAGCATAGTAGATTATAGATGGTATGTAAATGACAATGCTTAGCATTTATTTATGTGGTGGCGTGTGTGATGAGTGTGTGTGTTGTGTGTGTGTGTGTGTAGTGTGTGTCGTGTGTGCGTGTTCCGCGTTCGCGTATCGTATGCCTGTGTGTGTGTGTGTGTTGTTTGGGTGCGGTGCGTGCCTGCGTGCGTGCGTGTGTGTGTGTGTGTGTGATGTGTGTGTGTGTGTGTCTTGTGTGTGTGGTAGTGGGGGGGGGGGGGCGTCGATTGTGTGTTGTGTGGTTGTGTGTGTCAGTGTGTGTCCGTAGTGTGTGGTCCGTCCGCGAGTAGTATAGCCTCGTTTCCCGGCTGCGTGTGGAGGCGCCTTCTCCGTCTGGCCTGTGGCTTCGCTTGTCGTGGCCTGTGTGCTCCGCGTGGCGCTGTGTCTGTGTGTGGCTCGTTGCGTGGGTGTGTGTTGGCCTGCTGGTGGTGCGGTGGCGCGGCGTGCGCGTGCGTGGTGTGGTGGGGTGTGTGTGCGTGTGCGTGTTGCGTGTGCGTGTGCGTGTGCCGTGTTCGCGTGTGCGTGTGGCGTGTGCCGTCCGGGCGTGTGCGTTGCGTGTGTGTGTGTGTGTGTTGTGTGTGTGGTGTGTGTGTGCTGTCCCCGGTATATATATATCAAAGAGCTAATACATATATACTATATTATATAGATACATTATTATTAGCTTATTATTAATACCATTATTATATATATAAGTATATATATATATATATGTGGACATCTATGGTGCTGGCCTACTGCCTCGTTACTCGCATTAGAGCCGTTGTTACTTATGTCTTTCATGAGCTCCGGCAGCGGGATGTTCCTCGTAAGGCGGGCGCCACCGGCATGCAGCTTTGATCTATTCGCCCAGTACCAGCCTTCTCGCCTGTGCCTGTATAACCATATTATGGAATATAAATATAAATGATAAATTACTACTATATATATATATATATATATATATCATTTCCCTGTATATGTGAGATATCTATGTAGAGTTCTCGCCGTATTCTGCAGCCATAGTATAGATATAAATATAGAAATAATATGCTAGACAGTCACATCTACGCCTCTGTCAGCCCGCCGTCACGTGAGGCTGGAAGTACGGTGACTCTAAAATCTACGGATGCCGAGAAACGCCACCAAAAAACATCTATATTTCAAGGAATGCTGCTGAAATAGAACTGTGGTTGTTTTGAGATCGAGAAATCCCGTAAAATATCACGATTTTTATTTCTCTGTATATGTGAGATATCTATGTACAGGAGTAGCTTGTAATGACAAACAGTAAAACACTTAGATTTACAGCTTCTTTTGCTCTAAGATAACAGCAGGCGCTGTGGCGAAGCAAATGGACACACAGGTAGAAAAGCTACCGCTGCCAGTGGGCTTACGTTTGGATCGCCTCCTTGAAGAATTGTGCGTTGTCGTCAGATTTCTTGTCCATTAAACCCACAACGATACGATTCCATGTCTGAACTCGTTCGTGCCTCTCTAGCTGATGTCCTAATGTTAAGACAAAATACATATACATACATACGACGTGTAATAAACACAACGCGCCACACACACACACACGCACGCACAACACACACCACACTACACACGACCACACCACAACACACACGCACACCACACGCCCACACACACCAACACACACAACACACACACACACACACACACACAGCACACAACACAACACACGACAACCCACGCCCACACCACACGACACGACACACACACGACGACACACACACACAACACCCACACGTACGCGCACACACACACAGGGCCACAGCACACACACACACCACCAGGAAGACACACACCACAACCATCCGGACCCACACACACACACACACACACACACACGTGAGTTTTTGCCTGGTCTACTCGCTACCGTTGCGGATTGCTGAAGTAAAAATAGGGGTCAAATAGTAGGAGGCAAATTTTTATGGAGTAGACTGACTTTATTAGCGAGTGGAATGGAGGTTATGATGGCACTCTTGGTGAAGCTATACTTGAATATAGCGACCGTGGCGGCTGTGACTTGACTCAAGCCGCGAGAAAGCCGAATCAGTGGTTATACCTAACTGCACTCCGAAGAAAAACCAATGCTGCGCCTAACTCCCCCGGAGATAGCCAATCAATTGCTACTACCCACACGAGATAAGCCCATCATGGCTACCTTAACTCAAGGCCGAGATAGCCAATCGATGGCTACCTAATCACCCGAGAGTAATCATGGCTACCACTAACTCACATGACGAGCAGTCATCATGGTTATACCTAACTCCCAGAAAGCCAATCAGTCGGCTACACTAACTCCCGAGAAAACCAATCATGGCATACTACCTAACTCACCCCGAACAAGAGCGGCAGAGCGTCCTGGGCTCATCTGAGGCTTCTGTTGCTACGGTTATAACGTAACATTTAAGTCGCTGCGTGAGTGACACCTTTGCTAGGCCGCAGTGATACTGCAGATACGCAGTTATGCGTACACATCATTTCGAACAATTCTGGCATTTCTGGCATACCTCCCCAAAGTCCCATTGGTTGATACAAATCGCGTTCCTGAAACTCCTGTTTTATTGGTGCAGTATGTTGACCCTAGACCCAACCCTAGACCCTATTAAAAAAATAAATAAATTAACATTGTGTGGTAAAGAGATTATTTGGTATGTTAGAAATTTGGTTGTAAAAATTATTTGTTGTTATGGAAATTGTTCTGAAATAAATTATGGTAAAGATTTTGCTTAATGTTGGAAAGGGGGCATAGTTAAATGAATAAAGATAAGAAAAATACAGAAAACAGGTTAAAGAATAAAAAATCTGCATGGGATCGATCCAAGGACATGTCAGCCGTAATCCTGTGGCGGCGTAGCCGTTTGGACTATCGAGCAGTATTGGGTGTCCAACCTTACGGATTCTGCCATGGATATACTTGAGAACAATCGTGACCTCGTTGAGGCAGCTCAGGATCCAATGTTTAGTAATCCCTCTTGCGGGTAAACAGGTTCAGAACATTGCTTTCCGCGCTACGTCAGT